TTTTGATGAGTTAGAATTTTGTTCTACGTTTTTCTCTGGCTCTGTCCAGGACCCTCTATTGTGATCCCTGTCAGAGCAGTCAGTGGTGGTAGTCAGGCACCATCTAGTTGTGCTGGACTCAGTCTGGTGGAGGCTGTAGTAGATGTGGTCCATTAGTCCTTAGGACTAATCTTCCCTTTCCCCTGTGTCTTTGGTTTTCTTCTTTCTCCCTTGCTCTAGACAGGATGAGACCAGTGGAGTATCTTATATATTAGATGGCTGCTCACAAGCTTTTAAGACCCCAGACGCTGCTCACCAAAGTAGAATGTAGAACATTTTCTTTATAAACTATGTTATACCAGTTGACCTAGATGTTCCCCAAGACCATGGTCCTCACAGCCCTCAGTCCAGTAATTTGGTCCCTCAGGGAGTTTAGATGTGTCTATGGAGCTTCTGTGACCTTGCCTTGGATCCACTGGTTTTCAAGGGTTGATTTTTCAGAAGTTGGTCACCAGGCCTTTCTTCCGAGGCACCTCTGGGTAGACTTGGACCTCTAACCTTTTGGTTAGCGGCACAGCATATCTGTTTGCACCACCAGGAGACTCTCTTTGAAGTGGTATATAAATTAAAACCAAAATAAATAGCGCACAGTGTGGCATGATTCCTGCAGCCCTCTTTCAAGCTCTTAGGTCCTCACCCGCCCTGGTCTAGCCCTTGCTTGGGGGGCTGTTCCTTGTCCCTGGCGTGCATGGGATCTAGTTGGCCTGTGTCCGAGGGTCGGGTGACAGTGGGTGACTGTGCATGACTCTGCGTGTGCATCCCATGCGGTGTCTCATGCCCTTGGTAAGGGCGTAAGTTGGGGTAGGGGGGCTATTTGATTGGTTAATGCAAATGAGTGGGTGGGTGGGAGGGAGGGGTTGGACGCTTGAAGGAGAGGATGAACTCTTACACCTAATATACAAAGTCTAAATTTGATTTGCAATAAATACAGCTGTTCAGGGTGTGATGTCCCCAGTCCTGTGCCTCCTCATGGTTGTCTGGGAGAAGGCAGAGCCCCGTGTTTCTCAGGAGCAGCAGGAGGTGGGGGTGAAAGATGTAGTCCCTCACTGTTTACCCTGGATTAATCTGTAGCCCTGCGGATAGAGCCAGGCTTGTCGCAGCTTGGCAGGGCCTGCAAGTCCTCCTCATGTGTACATCCTGCGCTGCCCAACTCCCATGGGTTTTGAAATTTATGAGGAGGTGGGTGAAATGCTCTGGAAGCAGACTTGTTTGGGCACCCCGGCTTGCCCTCTAGTCTACCTCAGTACTGTCTAGGAAAAAGTCCCCACCCTGCGGGGCAGGTGGAGAGGCAGGGATGGGAGGGCTGTGGCCCTACCTGGCTCCTCCTAGGCCACCTCTGCCCACCTTGTAGGGCGTCCTTCCCAGAACAGGATGCCCCGGAGCTGTGTGTAGAAGGACACTTTCAAGGCGTGAGTTTGAGTCTCAGATTTGGCCTTAGCAAGCCAGGCAGGTGTTGGTGGCCTCTCAGGATCTGTCTTCCTCTCTGAACAGGGAGATGCTTGCTCTAGGGGCCGCTGGGTCCCTTCAGCTCTGACACTTTCCAGAGGGACGCTGACCGGCTCATGTGAATGCTGACCAAACCCCAACCTCTAGCGGCCCAGTGATTGAAACTTAACCATCACTTATGCTTAAAATATTGTGGGAAGTTGCTTCGGGAGGGAATTTTTTGACAGCTCAGAAAGGAGATACAAGCCATGGTGTTTTTCCCTTGGAGTTGGTTTGTTGTTATTCTGTCTTGGTTTGGTTTGTTGTTATTTTTTAAACATATTGAAATTCTGGAACTTGAATTAGAGTCAAACCCAAGAGCAGCACTCTTGGAGCACTGGTGCAATTCATTTCTTTCTGTCAAGTCCAAGGAGAGGGCAGTTCCATACACAGAGCACCAAATACTCGGTCTTTATTTTGCAGTCCAGTTACTACATGGAGGGCAACCTGGGCCACCCAGTGTTCCAGACCCAGTTCGGGAGGATCGCTGTGAACATCTGCTACGGGCGGCACCACCCCCTCAACTGGCTCATGTACAGTGTCAATGGGGCAGAGATCATCTTCAACCCCTCGGCCACCATTGGAGCACTCAGGTCACTTGGCAGGCGGAGATGTGGGGGTACCCGGGCTGGAGGCTCGGGGGTGAGCCTGGGAAACCACAGTGGGTGGGCAGGACATCCGGGGTTTCTATGCTGTGTGTTTTACCAACTGTTCAGTGAAAAGAACACTCAAAATTACGATTACAAACCCCTGAAAGAGCAACTCCACCGTAAAACACCAACCTAGGCTACAATATTGAATGTTGATGAGAAGGCCCCTATCTCACCCCCAGCGTTGTCAGGATTGACAAAAAGCAGTGCCTTTAAAGTGCCAAGTGGAACATCCAAAAACAAAAAAGGGCCAAAATCAAAACATTAACCCTACAACTTGAACAAGTAGAAAGAACGCAGCAAAAGAAGCCCTTGGGTGCCAGAAGAAAGGAAATAATAAGAATTAGAGCAGAATTAAATGAAACAGAGAATAGAAAAACAATTGAGTTAACAAGACCAAAAGCTTGTTCTTTGAAAAGATCAACAAATCAATAACCCACTGGACAAACTGACAAAAGAGAAACAGGAGAGGAAGCAAGTAACCTGTATAGGAAATGAGATGGGTGATATCACAACAGACCCAACTGAAATTAAAATAATCATAACAGAATACTATGAACAATTATACTCTAACAAATTTGAAAATCTAGAGGAAATGGACAGATCTCTAAAGTGCCAAGTGGAGTAGCTGCTTGGCAATGATGGCCGTCCTCTCCTGTCACAGCACTGTTCCCCCTGGGCGCTCCTGGGGCGGGAGGGTGGGCATGGAGAGGGACCACTGGTGCGAATGAGGGAGTTGGAGTTGAGAGGCTCTGTATTAGTTTCCTAGGGCTGCTGTTGCAAAGGACTACAAACTTGGATGGCTTAAAACAACAGAAGTTTATTCTCTCACAGTTCTGGAGGGTAGAAGTCCTAAATCAAAGTGTTGGCAGGGCCATACTCTCTGAAGGCTCTATGGGAGAATGCGTTCCATGCCTTTCTCTTAGCTTCTGGTGTTGCTGGCTATCCTTGGCTTGTAGATGCATCACTCCAATCTTAGTTCCGTGGTCACAGGTCTTCTTTCCTGTGTGTGTCTGTATCTCTTCTCCTCCTCTTATAAGGAACAAGCCCTACCGGATTAAGGGCCAGTGTGAACTCATCTTGATTATATCCACAACAACCTTATTTCCGATTAAAATCACACAGATACCGGCAGCTTAGGACTTCAACATATCTTTCTTGAGGATACAATTCAACCCGCAGCTGAGTCCCTAAGAGATCAAAATCAACTGGCTTGGAAATTTTTTTTTAACTAGTGACATGTTTTCTTATTATAACACCTAATGACAAGTGTTTGAGGGCAGTATTGTTCAGTGGTAGAATCCTCGCCTTCTGTGCGGGAGACCAGGGTCTGATTCCCGGCCAGTGCACCTGATCCGTAGCCACTCCGTCTGTCCGTGGAGGCTTGTGTGTTGCTGCAATGCTGAGCAGGCTTCAGCAGAGCTTCCAGGCTAAGATGGACTAGGAGGAGAAGCCTGGTGATCTACTTCGAAAATCAGCCAGTGAAAACCCTATGGATCACAGCAGTCCAATCCATTGTGCACGGGATTGCCATGAGTTGGGGGCTGACTCCATGGCAACTAACAAAAATAATAAGTGTTTAGATGTTTGTCTAATCTCTAAACAGATAAAACTGCTCCGACAGGTGGGCAAGGGAGTGGCCCTGACAGCGGATGAGGGTCCTAGGAGGGGCTCCCAGCGCTGCAGGAAAGCCCATTTAACAAATGGCTCCCTTCCCTAACAGCGAGCATTTGGGTGGTTCATTGCAGGCAGTGGGGCTCTAGGAATTCACCACACAGTCTTTTCTCCCCAGCTCTCTTCCTCCTAAGCAGGATCCTGGGTGCGGGTGGGGGCTCACACTCACTCTCTGTCTTGAGTGGCAGGCGGACTGTTGCTCTAGGGGACCGGGCAGCTGGCGAGGTCTGCTGGGCAGCTTGGGGCTCTCCATCAGCCCATGCCTGTTTCTCCTGTCGTTGCTCTTGGCAAAATTTCTGTCAAATTTCTTCTGAATTTCAGAATGTGGGACAGTTCCACTCTACCTTTCTTGTAGGCACAGCACTCCCTCTCCCCAAGAGTTACCCCCCTCTGTGCTCCCCCTACAGGGCTGGGACACAAACCACAGTCTATTCTTTGAGCCCACAGCCCTGTCCACCCACCTGGGGGCTTGCCCTAGTCCAGGAGGGCTGCAGAGGAAATTCACATCTCTGATCTCCCATTGGAGCCCTGGTGGCACAGTGATTAAGAGCCCAGCTGCTAGCCAAAAGATGGGTGGTTCGAATCCACCAACCACTCCTTAGAAACCCTATGGGGCAGTTCTACTCTGTCCTGTAGGATCACCATGAGTCGAAATCGACTCAATGACAACGGGTTTGGTTTTTTTGGCTGGTCTCCCCTCAGGAGAGAATCCGTCTGGGACCTCCTGCAGCCTTGCCAGCGGGGATAGTGTCCCATGGCAATGTAGGGCAGCAGGGTGGTTACTTGCTGTCCAGCCACTAAGCCTGGGCAGATGCTTGGGCCACCCCAGAGCAGCCCCTTCTGCTGGCTGTGAGAACCATCTCCCTGCAGGGCCCCTGGAAGGGCCTGGAGCCCATGCCTGGACAGCTGAGCCTGACTGACTCTTGGGCTGCTGCAGAGGCCCTCCCTGACCCCTTTTGTTAGCCCCAATTAAGCAAACAGAAGCACCCTGATGTAATATATACATAACTTCTTATGTCTTCTGCAGCCTGTTAAGCTTATTAAAAATGATTGATCTTCCTTTGGCCAAGAATCACCCAACCCAGGCTCTTGGGCGTGGTGCACACGGAAACAGGGTGCTTCATGGACCCCTAAACGTTTATGCACTTTGGCCAGGTGATTGTACTCTTTGAACTTTAGCCCAAGGAAGTCATCTAAGAGAGGAGCAAAAGGCTGTGTGCATGAAGATGTTCATGGAAGCAAATTCTAGACCATCTCTCCCATGGTACAGCCACTGAAAAGAGGCATTAGGAAGATAACACAGCATTGTGGCAAAAGGCCTACAAGCAGTTAAGAGACATTCTCAGACTGTGGTCACACACTGTGAGACTTCCCTGTCTACAAGGATGGTCACAGAGTAAGGAGAAATTAGAACCCTGTTTTATTGGAACGGTGGGATTCTAGATGATTGCCTTAAAATGATCAATGATGGATTGTTGTGGAATCAGTGGTTTTTAAGTCCAATACCAGGCAAATTCCCACTAGCTGCACACACAAGTGTTGAGTCAGAGTCACAGTTTCCGGAACCATCCATCCCCTTCTCTGGCATCTCCTGTCCCCTGTATCAGACCCCCTGCCCCCACATAACATTGTGGGTTGGCAGGGCTGTCATCATTCGATTTTGGGTCCCACAGTTCTAGGCATAGGTTCCTAGGTGGCGCGAAGTTAAGCGCTTGCCAATAGCCAAAAGGTTGGTGGTTCTAACACACCAGGAGGCACCTTGGAAGACAGGCCTGGCGATCTGCTTCCAAAAGGTCACAGCCTTGAACACCCTATGGAGCAGTTCTGCTCTGCACACATGGGGTCACCATGAGTCAGAATCGACTTGACAGCAACTAACAACAACAGTTCTAGGCACACATGGAGTCTAAGTGCTTTTCGATGGATTGAGTGGTTCTAACAGACTGTGGTTCTGTCCTTCACGGCCTGTGTGGCAGAAGATCTGGCTGCATGTACTTGTTAATTAGGAAGTTGCTGTCCTGTTCCCGCCTCACATTTGCCTTCCCACTGTGTTTATTTGTAATGGCCTGGTTACACTGGGAAGATGGTGAATGTGACCCTCCCCACCAGGCTCTGCCCAGTCCCCGAACATGCCGGCTCTCACAACCTAGCTTCCTCACCCTTAATTGTTTAGAGAGCATACATTTTTCTTGCCAGCTGTGGGTTTGAGTCCCATGCAGAGCACCCTTCCTGGAGGATTGCCAGAAAGATGTTTGATGGCAATCACCCAGCTACTGTCTATTTAATTCCTGAAAATGTCACTTACAAGAGTGTTTTTGGTGCAAATCCTTTCTTAAAAGTTTTGTCAGCTTGGCTTAGCAGCTGGGGGGAAAAGCAGCAAAATGAGGCCCCTCAATCAAGCCTGTGATTTTTTTTCCCCCAGTCTCTTGTGAATCCTCCTAAAAATTAGGCTGGTGACAACCACCCACCCCTCCACCTACTCCCTGGTTTAAACCAGCTGTACGTTGATAGAAAGGAAGGTTCCAGGGCGTTTTGCTCCCAGTCACTCAGTGTTTCTAAGTGGGCATTACATTTGTCAATCTGGAATCTTAATGCCATTGTTCCTTGGACAAGAGATAATTAGTGACAAGAAGGCCGACTGGATTCTGGGGCATTTTCTAGTTGGAGGGCCGGAGAAAGACAAGGCCTCTGGTTGGGGCGAGGTCTCCCCTCTGCTAGTGTGAACTGCAGCTGTGCTGCAGGGGCCTCTTTCCTGGGCTGTCCCCTGGCCAGTAAAAGGACCACAGAGCCCCTGCCTAGAGTCTTGGGGTTCAGAAGAGAATGGGAAGGCACTGGGAAACAGGACTGGCTTGGGGGAGGTGACCCCTGGCTACAGAATCTACCCCCTATTAGATAGGCCCCTGGGTGGTACAAACAGTTTATCCTCAACTACTAATCTAAAAGTTGGTGGTTCAAATCCATCCAATGGTGCCATGAAAGAAAGGCCTGGCAATCTGCTTCCGTAAAGAGTACAGCCAAGAAAATCCCATAGAGCAATTCTACTCTAATACATCAGGTTGCCACGAGTTGAGGCTGACTCGGCAGTAGCGGGTTTGGGTTTTTTGAGTATTACCTTTTGATTTACTCTGTTTCTTTCCAACTGCCTGAGTCTCCCCCTGAGACTGTTTTATGTGGCAGCCCAGCAGGGTGGGAGAGGGTGGGGCAGGCAGTTAGAGCTGAGCCCTCAAGGCCCCCAGCCCCTCCCGGTGTTTACCAGGCAGATGAGGCTCTGCCTCCCCCACAGCTGTAGAAGGGGAAAGTGGCAGCTGTGATGCTCCCCTCCTTCCAGCCCTCAGCATGGAGCTTCATCTGCACGGTCATGCCCTCTTCACAGTCTCCCTTTGAGGAAGTTTCAGAAAGGGAAACTGAGGCTTGGGGCCAGAACTTGATCCAGGGCTGCCTGATTCTCTCTTTCAGCCCTCACCAGTCATGTGGCTTCTGCCTGCAGCAGGATGTCCCCAAAGGCCTCGTGGGCTTGAATGGGGGCCTGCTTGCAGGCTTGGGTGCAGTGAGTCTCCCTGGAGTCCCTGCCACAGGCCTGGGAGCTGGTGGCTGCAGCTCGGGGTTGAGTGGTGACATCAGCAACCTGATTGCTCTCATTCCTCTTCACAGCGAGTCCCTGTGGCCCATCGAGGCCAGAAACGCAGCCATCGCCAATCACTGCTTCACCTGTGCCATCAACCGCGTCGGCGAGGTGAGGCCCTGGGTGCTGAAAGGGCTCCTAGGTTTGAACCAGGTGTGCTGGAGGAGGGGACAGAGGGAGGCTGCTCCTGAGGTGGGCCTTCCTCTTTGGGCCAGCGTCGGACACGCAGAAAGGAGCTGCCATCTGGTGGCCCTGGTGGGGATGTGTCCACCTGTTGTTCCATGTTCTCTTCTCTGAGTGCAGGCCATAAATCCTATGGTCCCAGAAGGGGGAAACTGGCTTGGCCTGTGCGTTAAGTAAGGAGCAAATCCCACCTTTGTTGCCAGCCGTGCAGTAAGGAACGGCGTGAATCCAGTCCCCAAGATGTGGTGTGGATTGGATTGCTCCAGTTCTCCCGTTCCCACTTCTCCATCCTTGTCACCAGCCACCCCTGCAGCACTGTCTCTGACTCTAGCCACCTGGATCTGGGTCAGAGCTCACAAGTTAGAGGACACGGTCCTTCAGACTGCCAGGTAGGCAGATGCCAGCCACAAATTTGGGGGATCCAAATGACACCCTAGCCTTCTGCCCTGCTGGCCACAGATTTGGGGCCAGTTTTCCGCTACCCCTTCAGGATGCCAGCTGCAAGCTCAGGTCCACAGCACACCCTCACTTCCTAACCTGCTGGCTCCAACTGCCCCTTTGAGTTCAGTAATTGACTGGAACGACTTACAGAACTCACATACGGTATACTAACAACTACAGATTTATTATAATCAAAAAGGATACAAACAGAGTCGCGTAGGGTGAAGTCTGGGAGGGTTCCCAACTTGGAGCTTCCATGTTGCAAGGGAGGTGCTACCCTACTGAGAGCAGGTGTTCCCGCCAACCAGGAAGTTCTCTGTGCCTCCATGTTCAGGACTCTTATCAGCCAGTCCTGCATGGTAGGCTAACTCATTCCTCCTGAGCTTAGTTGATATCAGCCTCCCAGGTGAGTCTTTTCTGGTCTGGCCAGTCCCTACTTGCCAGCACCAGTTGTGGCCTGGAAGTCCCAGACCAAGGCACCCCAGTTACTTCAAGGGTTATTTCTCTGGAGTCACAGACAAAGGCCACCTTGCTTTGGGTAAAGCTAGATCCTTTACCGCACAGCCTGTCACTAATAAAGATGTCATTATGTTCTTTCTCTGTTTTTTTGTTTGTTTTTTGTTTTTGTTTTTTTTTTTCTGTTTTTGCTTTTGTTTTTATATGAAACCGTTTGGCAGTAATCATTAATGTGGTAGTTCTCACCCTTTTACCATCAAGTATCTAGTTCCTTATTTTTCCCTATGGACCACGTGCGTTGAATGACTTTGAACACCAAGCACAATGCACATGTTACATAATAGTCCTTTTGCTTGTTCTTATTAATCAGATGTGAGGCTCTAATCAGAGCATCTGATCAGGCCGAGATGACCAAGGTCTTCACGATGGGTCGGTTTGGTTTCTGGCGATACAGAGAAACCTGATGTCTTAGTAGCAGGTGCAACCCCAGCACAGCTGGCTGTGCAGCTTCCATTAGGCTCAGGAAAACATGCTGAAAGCAGTGTGAACCCTCCCCTCACTGCCTACTCAAGGCCCAGACGCCAGCCCGGGGCTATGGGACTAAGCCAGGCAAACCCTCGGATGCCTTCCACAGCTTGGAGAACAACAGCTTAGTTACCAAGGTCTTTCTTTTCTCACAGCAGATTATAACTCTCCAAAGGCAAAGTCCAGGTCTTTCCCTTGCTTGTCAAATTCCACAGACATTTATTTCCACAAGTACTTACTTGTTGATTGCCCAGTTAGTGCAGACAGTTCCATCCCATGTTAACGGTTCTTCACTAACTCCGATGCAGCCTGACCCGCTGTTCTCAACCAGTGGGGTTATTTGTGATGAAGTGTAGAGTTAATGCCACCTATAGGCTTACCTTCCAGTAAACCAGTTGCTGTCGAGTTGACTCTGACTCATGGCTCCCCCATGTGTGTCAGAATACGGTTTCTCATGGCTGATTTTTCAGAAGTAGAGTGCCAGGCCTTTCTTTCAAGGTGCCTCTGGGTGGATTTGAACCTTCAGCCTTTTGGTTAGCAGCTGAGCATTTTCACCACCCAAGGACTCCGTGGGTTTATCTTACTTTGATTTTATATCGCAGGAGCACTTCCCGAATGAGTTTACCTCTGGAGATGGGAAGAAAGGTATGTTCCATGGATTTCCATGGTAGCTGTGATTGGCTGAGAAGTGGGCCTTCTGGGGCCTTGTGTTACACTCCCCCATCTCTGTCTTCTGGGCAAGGTCTGCCCACCTGGCACATAGGAGGCGCCATTGGCCCCTCTCTGCCTGGTGACTTTATGCAGCCAGCCATCATTGACTGGCCTGCAGCAGGGGGCCTGGTGGTGGCAGTGAGGGTGGGCAGTCCTGACCACCTCATCCTGTATGGGCTCGAATGTCATCCTACCTCCAGGACTGAGTGATGATGGGCTCAGGTGATGTGGAGGGGGTCACTGGTGAGCCCCCTTGGAGGTGGGGCTCTCATCCAGCCTGCAGTTGTTCCCAGGGTCTCCCTCCCTCCTGCCCTACCCACCACCACCCCACCCAGCTGTGCATGTGCCAGAGCATCAGCAGGGATCGCCTGGGTTACTAGAGTCCAAGGCTTGCTCTGATCTGAGGACAGGTACTGCCTCACCTCTGCTAGCAATCCCCGCCCCCTTGTCTCTGACCTGGAATGCAGGGAACTGGAGGCCTGCCCCCATAACCAAGGCAGGTGTCTGAACTAGGTCAGGGTGGCCCCAGAAGCCTGAGAGGGGCTGAGCCCTTCCTGAAAGGGCACTGGGTTTCCCCATATGCAGCCCCAGACTGCACCCCAGGCATGCAGAGCCGCCAGCCCCAGTCAGCTTCCTACAGAAGCAGCGTGAAGTGGGAAGGAAACGCTGTGTCTGCCCTCACGGTGCAGCCTCCTGCTGCTCACCTGCGGGCTGGGCTGTGTGCCAGCTTAACTGGTAAGGAGCTGCAGGGGGTCACAGCTGGCAAGTGGGGCACAGCCTCAAGCTCCCCTCTGTGGGGCCCCATAGGAAGCCCTGCAAGGTCATGTGACCCCCAAGGGCTGGGGTGATGATGTCTGGAGTGAAGGGCCAGCACCTCTGTAGGGTGATCTTTGGAAGTCTTCTAGGGGTAAAGAGAGAGTGACCCGTGGGAGGGTGACTTTGGCAGCCTTGCTGGGCCTTTAGGCTTTGGACCTCAGCCATAGCAGCGCTGGGGAGTGTGGTGTGGCCACTCCCTCCCTGTGTCCAGTGAGCCTGCTGGGCCAAGCTCACTGGCGCTCCCCTTTGCTCCTTTATAGCACATCAGGACTTTGGCTACTTTTATGGCTCCAGCTACGTGGCAGCTCCAGACAGCAGCCGTACGCCCGGGCTCTCCCGGAACCGGGACGGGCTGCTGGTAGCCGAACTCGACCTCAACCTATGCCGGCAGATGAACGACATCTGGAACTTCAAGGTGGGTCTCCAAGTGAACCCCTGGCCCTGGCCTGCTCTCCGGCTTGGAGCCCCTGCTGCTGGGTTTCCCCTGAACCTAAGGGCCAGTGTAGATCCCGGGCTTGTCTTGGCCTCTTAATGGTTCTGACCTGCGCAGCCAGGGTTAGTGTACATGAGGCACTGTGGGGTCCAACAATGCCTCAGTAAATCCTCCTCTCGCCTGATTGAGATTCTGAGCACCTTCATACAGATCCATCTCAACTTCATTGTCGAGAGAGTGGGCTGGGTCAGCCACTGTAATCCCATCTACAGTCTAGCACTTATCATGAGATGAATGTACACACCTACTTCTGCCTGTGGCCATGCCCTGTGATCCAGGCCTATACAATATGGGACATGGGTCATGCAGAGAAGTGAAACCTCCGCCCAGCCCTGCCGCTGCCTTGCTCTGGGACCTCAAACAAGTCCCTCCTGCCCCCTGGGCCTTGGTACTCCTGTGTAGAGTGAGAGTCCCTAAGCTGCCTTTTATACCCAAGGCCCTATGATGCCAGGGGTCATGCGAAGAGTGCAGGTCCCTGCCCTTGTGGATGGGGCAGGTAGTCATGGCCTGGGACCTCTGGAGGGGCTTCATGGCTTCAGAGTTTCCTGTATTAGTATTTGGCAGTATTTCCACTGTGCACCACCCATCTGTCAGGGTTGGCTTGTGGGTTGCTATGATGCTGAACAGGTTTCAGCAAAGCTTCCAGACTAAGACAGACTGAGAAGAAAGGCCTGGAGACTGACCTCCTAAAACCAGCCAGTGATAAACCCTATGAATCACAACAGTCTGATGTGCAACTGATCATGGGGATGGCACAGGATCGGGCAGCATTTCATTCAGTTGTGCTTGGGGTCGCCACCAACTCAGCACCACTGATAAACAAATTATACATGTGGGTGAAGGGTCTTGTTGCCAGGACTGAATGAATAGTTTTTCCTGGCATGCCTGGGAGGAACCAGAGTTTCAGATCAGCCAGACATGGATTCCAGGCCTGGCTCACCGTCTACTGAGCTTGGGTCCTTGGACAGGTTCCTGAGTCTCAGATTCCTATCAAACAAGGTGCTGCTCAAGCAAAGACTCCTGGCCTGTTCCTTCTTTTCCTGGGCTGCTGAGATTGATTCAGGATTCCACACAAATTAGAAGTTGGAGCCAAGATTACACTGGCCAATTCTTTCAACAAGGCAGTATCACCATGATACCAGAGGCCCTGGATGGCACAAACGGTTAAGCGCTTGGCTGCTAAGCGAAAGGTTGGGGGTTTACATCCACCCAGAAGCATCTCAGAAGGAAGGTCTGGTGATCTACTTCTGAAAGGTCAGCCTTGAAAACCCTATGGAGCACAGTTCTACTCTGTGGAATTGACTTGACAGCAGCTAGTTTTTTTAATCACCAAGAGCAATAAACAAAATGTTTCTCACTGGAAAGTTTTTAAAAAGTAAAAGAATTCCCAAGCTGTGGTGATGGCCAAGCTTGTGTTGAGGGAATGCTGAGGGAACTTTCTGGGTGGGCTTTCCAGCCCTGCCCCCACCCACCCACAGCCTCCCTCTGTGTCCATGATGAGATGCCATATGGTATGCACAGACCTTTGGACCAGGTTCAGGAGACCTGGGTTCAACTCCCTCTCTCCTGGCTAGTGACCTGGAGCAGGTCACTGCCCTCTTTGCTGGGGGTCTGCTCGGGCAGAGACCGTGCCCTCCAGATGGACTGTTTGCAGAGGTTTCCTGGCAGCGTAGTCATCACCAGTCACAGCGGGAGTGGTGGGGTGAGTGAGTCATCTTGGCCACAGTACTGAAACCAGCTCCGAGAGGTGACACGGGTTGTTCCTCTGTGTTAGTCTCTGAAAGTATGTATCCTGTCAACCAGTCTCCTGACAAATTTCTGTCCCATGGCTGCCCTCCAGTGGCAAGAGGTAGTTGCAGGTCAGTGAGAGCATGTTTATAAACTAAACCAAACCAATGGCCATGCAGTCACCGCCAACTCACGGCGATCCCATATGTGTCAGAGTAGAACTGGGCTCCAAAGGGTTTTTGGTGGCTGATTTTTAGGAAGTAGATTGCTAGGCCTTTCTTCTGAGGCATCTCTGGGTGGACTTGAACCTCTAACCTTTCAGTTAGTAGCAGAGTGCTTAACTGTTTGGTCACTGAGCAGCTCCTGCTTGTAAAAGCAGGAATCTCTAAAGTGTGTCTGTGTTTTGCTTTCAGATGACGGGCAGGTATGAGATGTATGCGCGGGAGCTTGCCGAGGCTGTCAAGCCCAGCTACAGCCCCAATATTGTGCACGAGTTGCTGACCTTCAGCCCCAGACTGCCCAGAAAAGGCACCTCTGCCCTCAGCAGATTAGCAAGTCAGACGAGCTTAATGGATCCAAGTTCTCCCTGAAAATGGCAATGTCCAGCTGGGTTCAAAATGCCCAGATTGGGGGAGGGGGTATAGGGAGCAACTGCTTAATGGGCACGGGGTTTCCTTTTGGGATGATAGAAATGTTTTTGAAATAGATAGAAGTGATGATTGCACAACATTGTGAATGTACTAAATGCCACTAAATTGTATACTTAAAAATGGTTAATTTTATGTTATATGAATTTCACCACAATTGAAAAGAAATTTCCAGGCACTGCTTTTGCAGGGTGACTTGGTCAGACAACTGGCACAGTCCTGGCCCAAAGTAACTCACTGTTGGCTTCTCGAGGGTCAACCAAGGGTCCGTGCCTAAGTGGAAAAAGAGGGAGGCTGGTCCAGTCACTGAGCTACTGGATGGTATGGGCAGGTGGGACAGTCTTCTCATGTGTCAGCTTGGCTTTGCTATAGCCCCCAGTCATTCAAACACTAACCTAGATGCTGCTCTGAAGGTATTTGGTAGTTGTGACTCAAATCCATAACCAGTTGAGGTTAAGGAAGGGAAATTATCCTAGATCATCTGGGTGGACTTAGTCAGTTGAAAGGCCTTAAGAAAAGAACTGAGGCTTCCCTGATGAAGCAGGAGTTCCACCTGTGGAGCAGCAGCAGCTGTGTCTGAGAGTTCTAGTCCAGCTTCCTGAAGGCCTGCCTGCCTTCCATGTCAAGCCTGCTAGCGGCCCCAGAATCACATAAGTCAATTCCTTGGGATAAATCTTTATATGTATATATATATATATATATTTATATGTATATAAACCACTACCGTTGTCTTAGGCTGGGTTCTCTAGAGAAGCAAAACCAGTAAAGTGTATAAATATATATAGAGAGAGAGATTATATCAAGGAAACAGCTCACGTGATTGTAGAGGCTAGAACGTCCCAAGCCCGTGGATCAGGGTAGAAGCCTCTCCCAAGTCACACAGCTGCAGAAGCTGGCAAGCCCAAGATCGGCAGGTCGGAGAGCAGGGCTCCCACTCACAGGCTGTGCAGATCGACGAATCCCAGGTTCGGCAGATAAGCTGACAGCTCAAGTCCTAAGAACGGGAGATGAGACGACAGGAAGCAGCCGCAGGATCCAGAGAGAGCAAAATCCAGAACGTCTGCTTATGTACAGATGCGGGCCACACCCCCAAGGAGACTCCCTTTCATCTGATTGGCTACTCACAGTATATTCAATCATGGGAGTGATTTCATTAAAACACTGAGAATCATGGCCCAGCCAAGTTGACACTCAATCTTAACCGTCAGAGTCCACCCCTTGTCAACTTGGCACATGTACACATCTCCTTAAACCATACATAATCTCTGAATAAAGACAATGAGAAAGTCATACTTGCGCCTAACATGATACAACTAACATGCTTACAATCGAAAATGCACTAGCCCCATTTACAGCTTATATTTTATAAGTGAAGGAAACAAAAATACTTGATGCACAGATACAAAGTACAAATGCTCATAACAATTACAGTTCCCGTTTCTGCAACTGGTCACGTGGCAATAACTGGTATTTAAAACTATCTTCTTCCACCACCCATTCTGTATTTCGTTTGCCCTCTGCAAGCACCTTGGCTGGTTGTGGTTCTTTGCCTGGTGGGGTGACCCAAACCTTCATTCCTGAAGGGTCTGTGTCATTAGTAGTCATGTCAGAATTAGGTTGCTGTAGTTTTCCATTGACTTTAATCACAGGATATGGTAGTACTAAGAGACGCCCCAAGGAATCTCCTGCATTCCAGACATACTCTTCTTTACCTGCGTTATGTAATATCAATCCGATTTCCTCTTGGTAATCAGGATCAATCACACCAGTCAGTATGGTAACTCCCTTCTTCGCCTGTTGACCCAGAGGCATAAGGAGCCCAAAGTGGCCAGGTGGCATTCTAAACTTCCAGTTCAGTGGAATCAGTGATGTGTCTCCAGGTGGGAGCATTCCTCCCTTTGGAACTAAGACCTCTAGGCCTGCAGAGCATAAGGTCGAGGGGACAGGAAGCAAAAATCTTGCAAGTGGGTCACGGGGTAATGGTGAGTGGTGCCACTCCCATTTCCACCCCTTGATTCCTGGACCCGTGAATCCTGACTATGGGAGAACAGCACCATATATTGAACGCTGGTTTAAAGCATATACAGCCTCCTGGAGAACATTGCCCCAACCCTGCAAGGTATTGCCCCCTAGCTGGTGCCATAATTGTGTCTTTAGAAGGCCATTCCATCGTTCTGTCAAGCCAGCTGCTTCAGGATTGTGGGGAACATGGTAAGACCGGTGAATTCCATGAGCATGGGCCCACTGCTGCACTTCATTTGCAGTGAAGTCAGTCCTTTGATCTGAGGCAATGCTGTGTGGGATACCATGACGGTGGATAAGGCATTCTGTAAATCCATGGATGGTAGTTTTGGCGGAAGCATTGCGTGCAGGGAAGGCAAATCCATATCCAGAGTAAGTGTCTATTCCAGTAAGGACAAAACGCTGCCCTTTCCATGATGGAAGTGGTCCAGTGTAATCAACTTGCCACCAGGTTGCTGGCTGATCACCTTGAGGGATGGTGCTATATCGGGAACTCAGTGTTGGTCTCTTCTGCTGGCAGATTAGGCACTCAGCAGAGGCTGTGGCCATGTCAGCCTTGGTGAGTGGAAGTCCATGCTGCTGAGCCCATGCATAGTCTCCATCCCTGCCACCATGGCCACTTTGTTCATGAGCCCATTGAGCAATGGCGGGAGTAGTTGGGGAATGAGGATGAGTGGTTTCCGCAGAATGCGTCATCCTATCCACTTGATTGTTAAAATCATCCTCTGCTGAGGTCACCCTTTGGTGAGCATTCACATGAGACACAAATATCTTCACGTCTTTAGCCCATTCGGAGAGGTCTATCCACATACCTCTTCCCCATTAATCCTTGTCTCCGATTTGCCAATCATGTTCCTTTCAAGCCCCCAACCATCCAGCCAAACCATTGGCCACAGCCCATGAATCAGTATATAATCGCACATCTGGCCATTTCTCTTTCCAAGCAAAGTGAACACCCAGGTGCACTGCTCGAAGTTCTGCCCATTGAGAGGATTTCCCTTCACCACTGTCCTTCAGGGAGGTCCCAGAAAGGGGCTGTAGTGCTGCTGCAGTCCACTTTGGCGTCTGCATATCGCACAGAACCATCTGTAAACCAGGCACAAGTTTTCTCTTCGTCAGTCAACTGATCATAAGGAGCTCCCCATAAGGCCATAGGTGCAGACTGGGAGATGGAAGGTGATGTGACAGGAGTGGAGACCATGGGCATTTGGGCCACTTCCTCATGCAACTTACTTGTGCCTTCGGGTCCTGCTCAGGCCTGATCTCGAATATACCACTTCCATTTAATGGTGGAGTGCTGCTGCACACGTCCAACTTTATAGTTCTGTGGGTCAGACAACACCCAGTTCATGATGGGCAGCTCAGGCCTCATGGTGACTT